ATTATTCACCAAAGCACCAGAGGGCAGGACAAGAATCAATGGTTGGAAACTGATCAAAGAGAGAAGCAACCTGAAATTAAGGAGAAACTTCCTGACAGTGGAACAGCTTGCCTCCAGAAATCGTGGGCGCTCCATCACTGGAGATTTTTAAGAAAAGGCTACAGACAGTCACTTTTCTGAAATGGCATAGGTCCTCCTGCTTGAGCAGGGGGCTGGACTAGAAGTCCTCCAAGGTCCCTTCTAGCTCTATTCTATTAAAAAGATCTAAAAGACAGCACAGAACTTTCAAACTCCCAAGCATCTGGGTAGAGGACCTGAAATTGAGGAAGATCCATATTACCCATAGGGGCAAGAAGGGAATTTATTACACACACACACATTTATACTGTATATATTATGCTGGAGCCTTACTAGTTATTACTATTACTATTATTCTCTGTTCTATGAGCATCAAATATGTGATTCTGTCTCCTTCCCCAGTAAACATTTAGAGGTCCTTCTAATTCCTACTACCATCACCAAACCTAGGCTGATCATTTACAATTAGTTGAAATTGTAAAAATAACATTTTATCACACTATAATGGGAAAACTATGACTGGTAAATTCAAGATAGGTTGGAGTTCCTAAATAAATAGAAGCTAAAAGCATGATTGCAAACAATTCTAATAAGAAAAAACTGGAAGGCCACAAAAAGTAGCCACAGAAAACTTAGGGAAGATCTCAGTATAAGCAAGGATGCATCCAGGAGATGAAAAGAGGACCAGATCACAAAGGAAAGAGTAATGTGAACAAAAGAAAGTTCAGAATGCATTACAGTTAGTGGATGGTTTAAAAATGCTTTCCCCCCCCTCAAAAAAACCCTGTTTAGGTACAGTTTCTATAAAAGCTACTTGGTGAAGTTGACAAAGCACTTCAAAATCAAATCAAATCCTTTATTACAGTCAATAACCAGATATAGGTACAATTCAGTAACAGTATTAATGGGTGTCTCTGGTAAAGGTGGCTGAGAGCATTTTACAGAAGGCAGAAGAGGAAAAGTACAAAATAGCAAGTAGGAACTGGAGCACTAGAATATATTTAAAGTTTGTAAGGCAGCAAAAATGATTAACTGTTAAGTAAATACAAAACAATATTGCTGTACAAGAACCTATAGTAGAACTGTATTAAATACTGATTTATTAAAGCATTTAGACAATTATTTCATTCTTTGATAAAGTGACTAAATCAGTAGACCAGCGAAATGCCATTGACATAGAATTAAGGAGAAACTTCCAAACAGTGAGGACAATTAACCAGTGGAATAGCTTGCTTTCAGAAATCATGGACGCTCCATCATTGGAGATTTTCAAGAAGAGACTAAACAGTCACTTGCCTGAAATGGTATAGGTTCTCCTGTTTGAGCAGGGGGCTGTTCTAGAAGACCTCCATGGTCCTTTCTAGCTCTATTCTATTTTAAGAATTAAAAATGTAGTGATGAAATACGTTATGTATACTAAAATGCAACAGCTCTTCCTGGAATACTTTGAGCATAACTGATTACTTATGCTTACTTAAAACCTTAATTGTTTATTATCATTATCATTATTAAGATAATAATAATAATAATGGTGATGATGATAATGATAATAATAATAATAATAATAATAATAGAGAAAATCATAGAAAATGAAAAAGTTACATTGCTCTGGGACTTTAGAATTTAAATAGACAGGTACCTGTCACATAACACCCCAGACTTAACAATTGTCAATGAGAAAGACAAAAAAGTTTGGATAGTGGACATGACAGTGCCTGGAGAGAGCAGAATGGAAGAGAAAGAACTGGAGAAGATAACAAAATACAAAGACCAACAAATAGAAATAGAATGACTGTGGCAAAGGCAAGCAAAGGTAGTACCGATAGTAATAGGTCCTTGGGTGCAATCCCAAAACAACTGGAGCACCACTTGAACACGATTGGCATTGACAAATTTGCCATCAATCAATTACAAAAGGCGGCCTTACTGAGAACAGCTTCCATCCTGCGACGATATCTGTAACACCATCAAACATCCACATCTGCCTATCGCAGGTCCTTGGTAAGGACTCAATAGGTAGACAAAAATGCCAAACCTAGTCTGAACATCTGGTTAACTGTGCAATGATTAATAATAACAATAACAACAACAATAATAATAATGGTCAACCTATTTTCCAAAGCACCAGAAGGTAAGACAAGAAACAATGGATGGAAACTAATCAAGGAGTTTCCTAAATTTCCTAATGGTAAGAACAATCAACCAATGGAACTGCTTGCGAAGTTTTGGGTGCTGCATCACTGGAGGCTTTTAAAGAGACTCCAAAGCCATTTGTCTGAAATGGTACTATAGCAGCGGTTCTCAACCTATGGGGTCGATTGACCATTTATCGGGGGTCGCCAAAGGTGGCGATCCGTCATTTTTCGCGGCGCTGTGCACGCGTGCCGCGCACGCACGTTGCGCACGGGGCGGCGCCATGCATGCGCGTTGCGCATGGGGGCGCCGTGCACGCTCGTCGCGCATGGGGGCTGTCGCGCATGGAGATCGCACATGGGGTGCTGTGCATTGGGGCCCCGCCCCCATGCGCGCGGCGCCGCGCATGCGCAGAACGTTTGTGTGACGGGGGTCGCCGTCACACAAACGTTGAGAAGCACTGTACTATAGGATCTCCTGCTTGAGCAGGGGGTTGGACTAGAAAATCTCCAAGGTCCCTTCCTACTCTGTTATTCTGTTAAGAGCCAAAAAAAGGGAGGGGGACTTGGGTACTAGAAGTGTGTTTTTCCCACCTCTGCTTGATGAGCCCATCCAAAGGTCAGCTAGATACAGTATCTGCAGCCCAGAACTGGTAACCCATTACTGGCTGTTTTTAATAGCAAAGGGTTGGTTATAAAGACTAGTGCATATTTTCTCCAGGTTATATAAACATTTTTTTCTCTGGAGACTGCATAAGCAAGTGTTTACAATAGAGAAAATAGTTTTTAAAAGTATACAAAATGACAGTGAAATGCAGAATACTACTATGTATTAAAAAGACAATATGGTCATTCAATTAAAGCTTAAAGGATATAAAAGCACCACAACCAACATTGACAACTATAGTAATTTGTGATGTTAATCACCTTAAATTAACTCCTTTAGTATATCAAGCAATATTGTCTTAAACCAAACTTCATTTTTTTGTTCCTATTTAATCATTTCAGTCTGTAACTTTCCTTTGAAGTGAAAGAAAATGTCAATGTTTAAAGTGACTGATTATTGCTTTTTTGATTGCAAACACAGAAAAATGCATTGTTTTTGATACAAATATGAATGTATACAGAAGCTTTTTGACACACAAAAAGCAAAGTCATCACTGGAAAGCCAGTCTATAGACATAGCTTTAGAAAACATAGTTAAGAGTTGTATGAAATTAGAGTAAAATGGCAGCATGCACTATTTATTTCATCTGTTTATAAGTCACTTTAATCATGTGTATTAAGTCCATAAAACAAATATAAAATTGTAAATAATCACTATCCATTTTGCTAGACAAAAATCTATAAACTGATCCCTAGGTCTGCAGAAAAAGCCATATTTTCCCAAAATGACAATAGGTTGGGACTGTGTAAAGCAAAGCTGGCTGAGGAATTCTGGAAATTGAAGTCCACAAGTCTTAAAGTTGCCAAGGTTGAGAACCCCTGGTGTAAACTATACCAGACAGATATAGGCAACATAAAAGCCACATCTCCATGACATTGTTTTAATAACAGGCAAGGAGAGTGCCTGCTTATCTAAATATAAATGCTTTAACAAACTATACCAAATCAAGATCAAGATCAACCAAATCATATTAAACCAAGAAGTGCATATAGTTTGTTCACTTTTGCTGTACATGTTACACAAACTTGCAACAGAAATCAAGGACAATAAAGAAAGTCTCTTTCAACATATTAATAAAAAGAAAAAAATCAAAGAAACTGTAGGTCCACTAAAGAGAGAAGATGGCAAGGAAGTAACAAGGTAGTAGGAAGAAAGCAGAGCTGCTTAACTCACTCTTTGCATCAGTCTTCATACAAAAAGAAACTATAGCCCAACATACCGAAAAAACTACTGTGAAAGACAAACTAGAAACAAAAATTAAAATAAGCAAGAAAATGGTAAGAGAACACCTATCTGACCTTGATGAATATAAATCACCTGGACCTGACAGATTACATCACAGAGTTCTGAAGGAGCTGGCAGATGTTATCTCAGAACCACTGCATCATATCTTTCAAAAATCCTGGAGCATTGAGGAAGTACCTGAGGATTGGAAAAGGGCTGATATTGTTCCCATCTTCAAGAAAGGAAAAAAAAAAAACAGACCCCAGGAAACTACAGGCCAATCAATCTAACATCAATAGCTGGGAAGATCCTGGAAAAGATAATCAAAAAATAGATCTGCAAACAACTAGAAACAAAGTTATAACTGGTAGCCAGCATGGGTTTGTTAAAAGCAGATCATGCCAAACCAATCTTATTTCATTCTTTGATAAAGTGACTAAATTAGTAGACCAGTGAAACGCTATGGACATAGTATACTTAAATTTCAGTAAATTTAAAGTAGACCACAATCTGCTGCTTAGCAAATTAGAAAAAAGTGGAATAGTCAACATCACCACCAGATGGATCTGTAGCTGGAAAAAGTTCAGAGAAAAGCAACTAAAATGATCAAAGGCCCAGAGACTAAAACATATGAAGAACAGCTGCAGGGTTTGGCTAATCTAAAGAAAAGAAGAAATAGGGGTGACATGATAGCAGTATTCCAGTATTTGAGGGGCTGCCACAAAGAAGAGGGCATCAAACTATTCCCCAAAGCACTAGAGCACAGACAAGAAACAATGGTTGGAAACTAAACAAAGAGAGAAGCAATTTGGAATTAAGGAGGACAATTAACCAATGGAACAGCTTGCCTTCAGAAATTGTGGGCGCTCCATCATTGGAGATTTTCAAGAAGAGACTAAACAGTCACTTGTCTGAAATGGAATAGGTTCTCCTGTTTGAGCAGGGGGCTGGACTAGAAGACCTCCATGATCCCTTTCATCTCTTTTCTATTTTGTTCTGTTCTGTTCTAAATAATCAGTGTGGTCCCAGCAATCATAGTCTGTCTGAGCCTCAGAAGGTGACAGCCATTAGCTGCTCTGAATTACAAATCCAAGCATGCTTTACCACCTGATTAATATTTGGGGAGGTCTGAAGACTGGGGTGTTTGGAAGCATCACAGAAGAAAGCAAACTCCTTTCATTCTCTTACCAATAAAATCACCTGGACTTGTCCATGAAGTTAGCAGCATTTCCAATGAATTTAAAGGAGCCTTTCTCTTTAAATCCTGCAGAAATATTTTCAATCACCTTTTTTCTCCTCCCAAAACAACACTATCTGATTCTTAATTCTATTTTGGCCAGATTCACACGTTCATAAAGTGGCTTGTTTTAAGTTTAACAGACAACCTACGTTAGATGGTAGGCCGCAATTCCCGCTCTCCCTGGCGTCCTCCCTCCCCACCACTCAGGTCCTGCCCAGGCCACTCCCAGTTAATTAGGCCACCTTTAACATGACAATGACCCGGGAAGGTCTGTCTGCCGCAAGACGGGCCATAAAAGTTACCCCAAGGAGGCTGCAGGGTTTCGGTAACTTTTCCAGTGGGATTCCGCCTTCCACCCATGAACGCCCCGCTGGCCATAAATACTGCTTATCGCGTCTACCCTTCCGGAGTGGCGGTCCCCGGAATGGGTTATGAGCAGTATTACTGGCCTTCCCCGGAGGAGAAGGCGCAGGAGCCGGTGCACAGTTCGGAGGGGGGTCCTCCTCCAGAAGCTTTAAGCGACGTGGAGGAAAAGGCGTGTCACAAAAACCCAAGTAAGTCTCCAAGGGGAAGGGCCCCACTTCTAATATTTTGGCGGTCCCCTTGCCTGGGGATGGGAGCGAGTGTTCGTGCATCTCGTTAGGCCATGGTGCGAGTCTTCTCTCACTACACGTATGTAAAACTAACTGTTCTGGTTTATGTACTTCACTGCTTTACCTGAATCCTCTCCACGGTGTGTAAATGCACCAAGGCCTAGCCCTAGATGGAGCCGCTTCGTATCTCGAAGGGTCAGAGCCTCTGCAATAGATTTGGGGAAGTCTTCGGATGGTTCAGCCACGTGGGATTGCAACCCAGAGTAAAATACACAGATTGCCTTGTTTCACGTAACCCATATTTTCAGTCGATAGATACTGAATTTCCATCGTGGAAAAGCCGATGCTGACAAACTACGATGGCTGGTTTATAGAAGATTAGAAATGAGCAAATTATGTGCGAGCCAAGCTGTTCGTGAACTTTGAATGAATATGGGTTTCTTTTAAGAAGCAATTTAAGCAACTAAAATCCCCTTTGGAGTTCGCACCTTGAAAGTAAAATCTCCCAGTGGCTCCATATTTATTCTGAAGGTAATTCGGAGATGGGGAATGAAAGGATCCTCCGCGGCTAAGAGTTCTTAATGGGATGGAAACCGGGGAGAGGCGGCGCTTGCACAGAGTCGGGCCTGATTTCCAGCCTACCTTGTTTAATCGGCGCGAGAATAAAAAAGCCGCCTCTCAAGTGAGGCGGTTGTTCAAGATTGGAAGGCTTCCCGCGAACGGGGTACACCCAAAGAAAATGAGGCTGGTGCTGGGAAGAGCGCCTGTTCTGTCTTGGGTGTTTAGTACCCGTCCCCTTCTTAAGTTTGGCCAAAATTTTCTTTTCAAAATTTGAGAATATTCTGGGTTGGTTCCTCTTCTCATAAATCGCAATTATCATTGTTTAGTCATGTGCTTTGCAGTTATGGTATATGTTTAAGCTCTAGGCATTTTGATGCTAAAAAGTACACTGTTGTGTTTATTTTAAATGGATGTTGCTCTTATGAAATATTATGAAATACAGTGTTACAATATTATAAAAACATAAGGACAGTCAGAATTTAGTTTCTTTAATTTGATACAGTGTACTATCTACTCAGAAATAGTTTGAGCATCTTTCCTGCAAAATAAATGAAAATATTTTTTTATTTCACTAGGCAAAGATAAATTACAAATTTGGAGGTTTTGGTAAAACAATTTGATATTAAACATGGCCAATAATTCATAATTGGAGTTTGACACATTAATTGATGTTGACCCTAAAAATCTATTAAAAGATGTATCATACTGAATTTCTTTCATCCTGGATGCACAATTTTTCAAATCTCAAATCTAAGAATTGTTATTTGTTTGAAAATCTGAAATAGAGCATGCATAGTGAGAAAATAGCTATTTACCTCTCTCTCTATATATAGAGGTAAATATAATATCTAACTTCTTGTGGGGTCCTTGGTGTTTTTTGAACATGGTGGTTTTCTTTCAGATGTTTCATTACCAAACTAGGTAACTTCATCAGTGTTAGAAGGGAGTGGGGTTTGTTCTTATTTATATATACTAGTGTCTTGCCCTGCCAGTGTTAGTTTAATAATGAAACCTCTGCAAGAAAACCATCACCCTTGGAGATCATCAAAGACCTGACAGTTTCAACCCTGAGCTATAAACTATTGATCTAATTTATTTAAAAGTCATCTTCTTCTGCCCTTAAATGCTGTTTTTTGCCTGATTTCTAGATCTTTCTCCAAGGTCCTCCAGTTCTGGAATATTAATTCTTTACACTCCCGACTCTGCCACCAGTCCCAACAGGCAGTCTTCTTCTCCACAGCTGACTTCTACACCCCAGAGATGCAAGGAGGAAAATCCAGGAAGCAGGAAAGTCAAAACACGCACAGCTTTCTCTCAAGACCAATTAGAGATACTGCACCGCCGATTTCAGAGCCAAAAGTATCTCAGTCCACAACAGATTCAAGAACTGGCTGCAGCCTTGAAACTCACTTATAAACAGGTAAGGACTTCTGACACAGCCAGAATTCAGCCCAAGACATTTTCATAATTATAGAGAATTAGTTTGGTGTAGTGGTTAAGGCACCAGGCTAGCTACCAAGAGAACATGAATTCTAGTTCTGCCTTAAGCAAAAAGCCAACTAGGTGACCTAGGTCAGGCACTCTCTCTGGCCTAGGAAAGAGGCAGTGGCAAGCCACTTTTGAAATTGGGCCAAGAAAATTGCAGGGACTTGTCCATACAGTCACCAAGAATCAAAAGCACAAAAAGTATATAATTATATAATTTATATAATAAGTATAATATAGAAATATATTATGTGTGTATATAATAATAAGGTTGATGTGGGGGAATAGTAGTTTTAACCGGTCAGAGGACATCTAATTTAGACAAAACTGAATCCTAAGCATAACTCTATAGAATTAGATTTTGAATTATTTTGACTAGAGATTTTTAGGATCTGTCTAAGGTACTCTATAATCTTTGAGCGTGTGCTTTCTTCTTTCTGTAGCTACATCTAAACTGCATTTTTCAATCTTGTGACTGTTTAAAGTGAGATTGACAGATTCTCAAATAGTTTTGGTCCTCTGAACAGTTTTTCCTATTTTTTTTTATTTCTGCAAAGCTTGGGGTTCCTTCAAGCCTGCTGCCACCTCCTTCTAGTTGTAGGTAATGACTGTTGGTTTCCTGAGCAGCAGATAACAAAATCATCCAAGTGCATTGTGTAAACCTGTTCAGCATTTTTTTTCCTCTTACTAGATGCTAACAAGAATTGGAAATATATGGATGCCTAAATTGATTAGCTCTGCTATTCACATTGTTGGACAGCCAGGTGCCTTAATGCAGGGGTCCCCAACCCCTGGTCTGTCGACCTGCACCAGTCCGTGGCATGCCAGAAACTATGCTGTATAAACAAGCAAAGATCCATCCGCAGTATGCAGGCAGCACATGAAACCACTCCCCCTCCAGTCTGTGGAAAAAACTCTCTCCAAGGACTGGGTCCCAGATGCCCAAAAGGTTCGGGGCCGCTGCCTTAGGGAAGCTCACATGTTCTGACAGGAGAGTAATTCTTTTTCATGCTGTTCCTTAGAATTTGGTGTTTAAGACTGTCTGCCTGCAGTTCCTAAGGATAAGGGTTCCTAAGATAATTAACAGCCATAAAGGCTCTAGCTGTGAATTTTATCCAGTCTCTTTTTAAAACACCTAAATCAGAGACCTATTACCATATTAAATTATGATAAGTCCTACAGTTTAATTTTATCTTGTAAAAAGCATTTTCCTTTATTCTCAATGAGTGCTGACGTTATAAGAAGTGGAGGCAAATTCTTGACCTATGTCTTCCCTACCCAGCATATTTTAAATACTTCTGTAGCAACCAAAAATGTACACTGTATTCCAAGAGCCAAGTCTGCTGGAGCCTTTTTGTCCAGAGAAGGACAATAGCAAATGGTATCCTATCTTTTCACCACATTCCAGGTAAAAACATGGTTTCAGAATCAACGAATGAAGTTTAAGCGAACTCAGAAAGAAACTCTATGGATGAGAAAAGGGATGTGCCAAACTCAGGTAATCGGGCAACCCACTAAAAAGATGCGTATGGGCTCTTTCTTTATTGTACAGTAGGTATCGTAGCCTGGTGGTACATAAAATCATAGCTGATAGGTGAAGTGCATGTTTTGCATGAGAAAGTTTCTTGTTCAAAGCCTTGCATTTCCATGTGGAACTGGAAAGTGCCTCTGCCATCAAAAATTAGAACGTGACTGGATAGAGGGAATGTTTTTGACCTAGAGGGATTATTGATTATAAGGCACCTGCTTCTGTTTTTAATCCTTATTGTTTAAGAACTGGGGGCTAATGGGGCTTTTTGAACAAAAAATGCCATTAATGAAATTGTTTTGCTTATTTCTCACAGAATAGTTACTTGGACATAAACCCAAACTATCATGAAGGTTACAGTATTGGTGAGGCCAGGAACACCCATTCACTAGCTGCTGTGCATGAGAACTATACCAACAATCAAAACTATAGCAGTAACCAAAGTTATAATAGTGACCACCACCAGGTCTACAGTAGTCCTCAGAATTTTTATCCAATTGGTGAGGATGGGAGCTTCTTTGTAAAAGCTGGTGGGGCCTGTTACAGCCCACAAACCATCAATTATATCAACAACCAAAAGATGAATTTTTATCCTGGCTTCTCTGCAAGCATGGAGTATGCCACCATGAAGATGGAAGATGGGTATACCTTCCCCAATGCATCTTCTGCTGCATTCCCAGGACCCTCTGTCCACCAGCACTATCAAAGTCCTCTACAAACTCAAGGACCACAGAGCAACTGTAACTCCTAAGCTTCTTCCTTTTGTAGTCTTTTTTTATTTTGACAAAGTCTCCTGCAACTTCCCACTCCCTCCAGCAAAGGGATCCTGGCACTTTTCAAAAGCTAGGCTTTTGCATAGACAACAGTTTGTGTGTGTATGTATGTGTGAGAGTGAGTGATTTTGAACTTGACTTTCATTAGGTTTCTCCTAGCTGGCACTAGGAAGAGACTGGATATGGAAGACAGCTCTCATTCAGGAAATGAGAATTCAGGGAACATCAGACTTATTAGCTCTGTGCATGGCTTGCCTGTAGGCCCCCCACCCCACCCCAGCATCCCTCAATGCCATTTTATAAGTAATTTAGCTGGAGTTCAGATACAAGTGCAGTTGGGAAGAGGCTCTGATTTGTGAACATATTCCTTTAGTGTCCTTATGCTGATTTGTTGGATTTTTCAACAGTGAATTTTCTTTTACGTGCAAGATTCACAAAAGAGATAATTTATGATTTAATGTTTATTGTCAGATAAGTCAATGTAGCAATTCTGAGAAAGGGAAAAAAATGCCTTTCTACTTATTACCTTCCCATTTATCTGTTAATAACCTGTGCATTCCCCTTTGCACCACATCATATCAAGAGCAGAGGTTTTGTTTCTCCTTTAAACAAGTATTAGTTGCTTGTGGAATTATCGTATCTAGCATCATTTTCATTAGAATGCAATAGATACTATTGCTAGCCAATTGAAAGAAGTTTCTATATTCCAGTTCTTTTGCTATGCAAAAATATTGTATGAGTGAGTCATGTGGAATGAGCATTTGTTGTAGTTCCGCAAAAGTGTCTTTCTTTCCTATGAAGCTTTAGTACTTTAGGTTTTATTTCTGATTCACTCTACTTAATTTTCAGTTACATAAGTTATCAACAACCAAAAGGCCTAGGAGGAGATAGAAGAGAAATCTATTGCTGGCAACATAGATAGGGGGAAGGAATTTGTGGAAGAACAGTTATTGAATTCTTAAATGTTGCTTTTAATTGTTGGAAGTTTGTTACAGGTAGAGCTCACAAAACTTTTTTGTTACAGGTAGAGCTCACAAAATCTGCAACATTTTACTCTGTTACCACTAGTTTTTCAATTTATATACTGTAAGGGATTTATGCTACAGTGTTATAGTAAAAAGCATGAAACCTAACTAATGGGTTCTGTTCTTGAGCTTATTTGATTTATTGTACTTACGGTTGATTTACTGACTTACGGTTGGAAGGGGCCACTGAATCTGACACTCTATTCAATTCTGGAGTCTAAATTAAAGCACCCCAGTACATGGTGTTCATCACATATACAGGGAAGGAAGTCCCACCATTGCCTATTTCCACTGTCAAAACTATTGCTTTTATTGGCAGTAACATCAGAGATTATCAATTTCTTGCTCAGTGTGAGCTCTAAAGTATTCTGGACTGGCAGCTGTCCAACCTCTCTATGAAGATTGCCAGTGAAGGGGAAAGTATCACTACATAAGGCAACGTTATATTCAGCTAAAATTTGATTTCAATTCTGTGTCCTGTACTTCTAATCACTAATCCATTAAAACATGATTATTCTGCATTTTAAAGTTAAGCGATATGCAGAAATTCAGCATGTTCCTCAACTTGAAGAACTTTTGTCTGTTTGTGTAATTGCAGTGGCCACAACTCCATTCTGTTTTGCCTTTTTATTGGATTGACTGGATTGTAGAATAATTGTATTTAATGATTTCTCTATTGCATGTCTTATCAACATTTTGAAGTGAGGATTAAATTACAGATTGCTCATTTTGTAAAAAAAAAGGGATGATTATAAAATGACAACACACACAAAAACAAATTTTTAAGCAAAGTAAAGCAAAGTGAGACTACTCCCTCCAAGTCTTTATGAATGCTAGTCAGTATATGAGCGGTACACAAGCTGATCCCAACAAACATACATTCTTCCAGTGGAATCTTATAAAAGCCTACTCAGAAGCAAGACAATATTGAGGTCACTATCTTAAAAAAGTATTAACATGGGTGTTGAGTGGAGAAATATTCTCCCCCACACACACACTTCATTACTCCAGGAGAACAAACTAGAAAAAAAATCAGAAGAAAGTTTTGAATTATTTTCTAGTCAAAAGTTGCAAGAGGGGACTCTTACTGATAACGATGGAACAGACTTATCCATTTCTTTATTACACCAGCACATTTCACGGTCCAGCCCAGACTATCTTCTTGTTGGGAGATAAGAATGATTCTTTGGTCCAAAACATTCCCTTGTCTAAGGATGATCCATGGCAGTGTGGGAAATGAGAGCACACAGTAGTTGAACTGCACACTGATTCCACTATAGGGAAAGAGGAATTTCATAGATAGAAATGTTCACTGCCTACATGACAAAAACACTATTCTAATAACTTTCTTTACTTTTCTGCATGTGGTAACAAGTTGCCCACTTTTGTTCCAGCATTTATGTTTTCAATAGTTGACATAAAAATAAAGTTGTTCATTTCCCCATCAATCACCAAGTTTTTTCCTGCTTATTTCCCATACATTGGATTGTTCAGGATACAAAAACCATGGAAAGCACAAAAAGTTTTGATTGCAACTATCTGGTACCAGTGTACTTAAATTTTTTTTTTTGAAGTCAAATAATCAGGGCCAAAATACCCAATAGATGACCAATTTATTTGATACAATATAGATGTAATATATAAATATCTGTACAAACAACCATCTGGGTGGGTGCATTCTGTAATAAAGTTGGTGTTGATAGAGTGATTAGTTTCAAATTAATCACTTTGGTCTTCTAGTCCAAGCCCAATAGTACATTTTATTTGCCAAATGAGGCTTTTAAATACTACATTCATCTAGCTCTTGATACTTCAATGTAATCTGACCCTAATCTGTTTGGCCCAGATACTTTGCAACTTTCTCAGTGCAAATGCCCTCATGGCATTTTTGAAAGTAATCAAATGATTTTCCTCTACCAAGCTTTTAGCTTTAATTGGCTGTCACAGGTGTTCATTTTGGGGGAGATGCTTAGAGTTCATATATTTTATACTTGGGCTGTTATAATCTGCCCAGAGTTTGGAGTGAGCTGTAAAACCTATAAGAAAATTGATCTATATCGTTTTTCCCTCAATTACTCAAATCTGCCCTCAGACACTTGACTGGTTCTTTCAGCTGTCTACAACAACTATATGGTTAAAAAAAATAAGTACTGAGTGTGAGCTGGGTGGGCCGCCATATAAATTTTCTAAATAAATTTTATGTAAATGAAAAAAACAATAAAAATCCAAGACACTTCAAAAACTAGAAGTGGAATTTAAGTCTACCCACTGTGCTATTTTCTTGCTGTTTTCAGAAATGATTGGAGCTTTCATATCATTACACTTTAAAGCCTGTTCAACAAGATGAGTGCTATGGTTAATGCTAGAATAAAGTTTTAGATACAAAATTATAGCTCTCCAACAATATTTTTCCTGATATAAGTCAGCTATTTTCCATTCTAAAACAGACTGGAAATCAGACTGAAATTGATTTAATTAATCAAAATCAAGGTTACCTGCAACTAAAACTTTATTCCCTCCTTTCCAATATCTGGCTCAAGAACATGTCAGATGAAAGACAATTATTTGTCCAAGATTACAGATCAAATACTTTCTGAGGATACCAAGAATCCTATTCCATCTGCAGAAAAACATACTGTCCTACTTTTAGTACTCAGCAGATCTAGCACCCCTAGTCAGAAAGGACAAAGATGTAAAATACAATTGAGGGGGTTCCAACTTCCTCAGCTCAGCCATTCTTTCATATTAGTAATAGTATAGCATAGCATAGTGCAGTATAGTATATGTTCCATTTATGTGCTTATGCCCAAAGAACACCCAAATTATACATGCATTAAATGTAAAATATTTGAACTATTAGAGGAAAAAGTAAGGGATTTAGAGGATTTCCCCCTACCGATAAACCCTTGGAGGAAGACAAATGAAGGTATGTCACACATAGAAGGCAACACAATAATCAAAGAAAGAAGCAGCATAGATCTAATAAACCCCTACTGCCCAATCTAACCCAACCAGAAGCAGCCCCATTAAAACTGAGCAATCAATTTCTCCCCCTTGATGGAAATACATAGACCCACAACCGCCCCCTGAAGGAAAACATAGAGATACCTAGCAAAGAAACAGCACCAAATATCCCTAAAAGATCACATCAACAAACACACCTGAGATAAAGAGAAAAGCACCTCAGACTGCACCCCCCAAAAAAGGAAGGTGAGTGTTGGTGATAGGAGATTCTATTCTCAGAGGAACAGAATCAGCCATCTGCAGACAGCATTTTCTATGCGACGGATTCTTGGCAAGGGATGGGCTGCACCTCATGAAAACAGGGAAAAATGTACTCAGAACAAGACTGGCCCAACTTATCAGAAGGGCTTTAAAGTAACATTGAGGGAAAAGGGTGACCAATCTTTAGAATCTCTAGAACACAAAACCAGTCATAAATCCCAAGAAAACAAATCAAACAGTGAGGTAGGGAGTGATGAGAAAAAAGAAAAACTCGAGTAACAATTAGAAGATGCAGGAAAAATACCCACAGACAAGCATAAAGGTCTTAAATGCTTATATACAGATGCTCAAATCCTGGGGAACAAACAGGGTGAACTAGAAGCAATAGTATATGAGGGCAAGTATGACATAGTTGGCATTTGAGAAACCTGGTAGGACAAAACCCAGGACTGGAATGTACTGATGGATGGATACAAATTGTTCAAAAGAAACAAATCTACAAAAAGAGGAGGGGGAGTTGTGTAAGAGTACACTAAATCTACAGAAATGCACATGATCAAAGATAAAATCCTTCCAGAATGTATATGGGTCAATATAAAAGGGGGGGAAAGGGGGAAAAAGTGACATTGCTATAGGTGTATATTACAGGCTACCCAACCAATCAGAAGAAATAGATGAACTCTTCACCAACCAGTTAACAAACGTATGTAGGAAGCATACCACAGTAATAATGGGAGACTTTAACTACCCTGATATCAACTGAGAGACAAACTCTGTAGCAGTGGGATATCAGTTTCCTAACCAACTTTGCCAACAACTTTATCATCCAAAAGGTGGAGGAAGGAACTAGAAGTAAAGCTATACTGGATCTAATTCTTACTAGGAAAGATTCTATGGATGAAAATCCTAAAGTGGAAAATAACTCAAGAAACTCTGAAACTCTGAAAAATATTATCATAAAAGCCCAATCCAGCAGAATGCCATTGAAAAAGAAAGACAAGAAATTCAAGAAGAAATCAGCATGGCTTTACAAAGATCTCTCTGACAAATTGAAAGACAAGAAGGATAAGTACAAAAAATGGAAAGAGGGACACAGACTGCCAGAACAGCAGACTGCCAGAACATGCAAAAATGAAGTCAGGAAAGCAAAGGCTCAGAATGAACAAAGACTTGCAACAGAAATCAAGGATAATAATAAAAAGTTTCTTTCAACTTATTAATAAAAGGGAAAAAACCAATGAAACTGCAGGTCCACTAAAGAGAAAAGATGGCAAGGAAGTAACAGGCAGTAGGGAGAAAGCAGAGCTGTCTAACTCACTCTTTGCATCAGTCTTCACACAAAAAGAAATTATAGCCCAACATACCAAAAAAAACCATTGCAAAAGACAAACTAGAAACAAAAATTAAAATAAGAAAATGGTAAGAAAACAACTATCTGACCTTGATGAATATAAATCACCTGGACCCAACAGATTTCATCACAGAGTTCTGAAGGAGCTGGCAACTGTTATCTTAGAATCATTGCACCATATCTTTCAAAAAATCCTGGAGTATTGGGGAAGTACTTGAGGATTGGAAAAGGGCTAATGTGATTCCCATCTTCAAGAAAGGGGAAAAAAACAGACCCAGGAAACTATAGACCGATCAGTCTAATATCAATACCTGGGAAGATCCTAGAAAATATAATCAAAAAACAGATCTGCGAACAACTAGAAGCAGACAAGTTATAACTAGTAGCCAGCACAGGTTTGTTAAAAACAGATCATGCCAAGCAATCTTATTTCATTCTTTGATAAAGTGACTAAATTAGTACACCAGCAAAATGCTGTGGACATAGTATACTTAGTTTTCAGTAAAGCGTTTGAAAAAGTAGACCACAAGCTGCTGCTTAGTAAGCTAGAAAAAGGTGGGATAGACAACATCACCACCAGATGGATTTGGAACTGACTGACAAATTGTACTCAATGAGTCGTCCTCAATGGTACTATATCCACATGGTGAGAAGTAAGCAGTGGGATACCACAAGGCTCCGTCTTAGGCCCAGTACTCTTCAATATCTTCATAAATGACTTAGATGAGGGAAGAGATGGAGAACTCATCAAATTTGCAGTTGACACTAAACTGGCAGGAGTAGCCTACAACCCAGAAGACAAGCTCAGAATCCAAAAAGATCTTGACAAACTTGAACAATGGGCCCTATCCAACAAAATGATTTTCAATGTGTAAAAAAGCAAGGCTTTACACGTAGGCAGAAAAAAAAACAAAGGCACAAGTACAGATCAGGTGAAACCTGGCTCAAAAACAGTAACTGCAAGAAGGACTTTGAAGTCTTAGTGGATGATCACTTAAACCTGAACCAGCTGTGTGCAGCAGCAGCCAAAAAAGCTAATACAATCCTAGGTTATATAAACAGAGGCATAGAATCATGATCACGCAAAGTATTAGTACCATTTTAGAAAACCCTAGTAAGACCACACCTGGATTACTGCAACCAGTTTTGGTCACCATACTACAAAAAAGATGTTGAGACTTTGGAAAAAGTTCAGAGAAGAGCAACTAAATGATCAAAGGTCTGGAGACTAAAACATATGAAGAACGGCTGCAGGACTTGGGTTTGGCTAGTCTAAAGAAAAGAAGAAACAGGGATGACATGATAGCAGTATTCCAGTATTTGAGGGGCTGCCACAAAGAAGAGGGCATCAAACTATTCTCCAAAGCACCAGAGGGCAGGGCAAGAAACAATGGTTGGTAACTGATCAAAGAGAGAAGCAACCTAGAATTAAGGAGCAACTTCCAAACAGTGAGGACAATTAACCAGTGGAACAGTTTGCCTTCAGAAATCATGGGCACTCTATCATTGGAGAAAGGTTCTCCTGATTGAGCAGGGGCTGGACTAGAAGACCTCCAAGGACTCTTCCAGCTCTATTCTATTCTATGGGAAGTGTAGTGTAGTGTAGTGTAGTGTAGTGTAGTATAGTGTAGTGTAGTATAGTGTAGTGTAGTATATATAGTATAGTATAGTATAGTATAGTATAGTATAGTATGTTATAGTTATAGTATATTTAGTTATAGGTGTTATAGTTGTTATATTATACTTATATTATACCTATACTCTATTCTACTCTACTCTAAATTTAAAATAACCTCAGAATCCCATGTCCAAGACTCAGTTACAGAAACATGTTATAGCTGTTATAGTGTTTGATCAAGAAAGGGAAGAGGCAGGTTTTAGTCCAAACTCAGCAGTGGTTAAGGTGCAGGTCCAGAAACCAGGAGACTGTGAGTTCCAATCCTACCTTAGGCAGGGAAGCAGCTGGGTGACCTTGGACCAGTCACTCTCCTTCAGCCCAACCCACCTCATAAAGTTGTTGGGAAAACAGGAAGAGTATTAGGTATATTCACCACCTTGAGTTACTTATAAGGTAATAAAGGTAGGATAAAATCAAATAAATATTGGGGATTTGGAGTCAGGCATTCCCTCAGACCAGCCTACTTCAACAGGTTGCTATTCTGGGTAACAGGAGGAAGAAGCACTGCTTTATGTGCACTCTTTTGAGCTCCTGAATGAAAGCAATACCAATCTCTATGGTGATTGGTCTTGTTAAGTGGTGGCTTTGAGCCACTCACTATCTCTCAAGTTAAACTATCCCACACAGTTGATAACATTAGATGAAATTAACACGTAAGGCACTTCAAATTTTCAGATAAAACGTGTGTGTGTATGGTGTGTGTGTGTGAATGTAACATATAAAGCAGTTCCAATATAGTTATCTCTATTTAACATTAAAAAGATAATTGTTTCCTCTTGCTCATCCTCTTGCTGCAAAGGGTAGTGGGCAAGCTTCACATAGCTCCTATTTATGGACCCTGAAATCCTCTTTAAGATTGCACCCACAAAAATTCAGTGACTTTCAAATCACAAAGACTGGATTTCACCATAGACACGAGAGATAGAGGGAGGAAGAGAGAGAGAGAGAGAGAAGAAAGAAAAAAGAAAAGAAAGAAAGAAAGAAAAGAAAAAAAATGATAAAGCAATAACTTAATCCCCAGCAATCTAAATGGTTCTATCAATGCATTAGTCTTGTTCTTGTCTTTGTGTTAGCATTTGTGGGCCAAAGAAATAGGAGGAAATAAACACCTATGATATGCAAGAGATTGGGCAGGAAAAAAAATCATCTCCTTTTGCAAATAGTTTCAGGGGCTCAGTCCATGCCTGAAGGAAGGGCAACTTTATTTTTGCAGTACCCTGGGGCTTTGGCGCCCCATGCTATGTCTGCTCTTTCAGGAAACCTGGGACTGAGGATGTTGATTGAATGGTCAGTCTCAACAAGAGTCAGTTTCCGTAATGTAGCCTGGGGTGATGTCTTTGACATTTTCCTGACCTGTGGCATTAGAGGAAGAAATTTTGCATGAGAAACTGTAAATCTCAAGCCTTAATGCTTGGAGATGTCACTTAAAGGGACAATTAGAATGGCCCTGGTAT